AGTTTGACAGATGTTTGCGTACCTACTAAATGGATGCAAGTGCGTAGCTGGCCGGTCTGTAGCCGAGCATGGACTGGCTCTACCACGAGGTTTGTAAGGGGACCTCCAGACATCTGCGAAAAGAGAAGCCAATGAATTTGTGACCTCACCTAAATGTGCATAATACTTAAGTGTGCTTAATAAGTATTGAACGCTCAATACTTAATAACTACACGCTACAATGCGATGCTAGCGAGTAATATTCCCTTGTTTAATGATACATTGAATTGCACACACGTTGCGAAAAATCTTTGCAAAAAGAATATCGGCGGGCTCTTACAGGTGAACACAAAACAACGCATCTCAATTGGTGATCAAAATGTCAAGGACATCACTACACGAGTTCGCTTTTACAGTTATATATATCTCGTTTAAAAAATGTTTCAACATCAAATATAGCACCCAGTTGTTACCTGACTGCACTTGACAGAATTCAAGGTACAGACGTCAGGATGACTGATGATCCAGCGCTCACCGGCTGTACCCTCCACCTGAACAGCCAACACCTTCGCAAGTCAGTCCTGGCCTTGTCTACCAGGGCGGATGGGAAAGGTTTGTGGAAAATGCACGGACCATAGGACTTGGCGCACAGCACTGGGCTACCTCAACTGCAGCGAGTCCTCACCGGAGCGCGTGCCTCATAGGAAGCGCTGTCCCGATATGCGTGGCCCGTTTGTATGTAACAAAACAAAAACCCACCACGTGCCTTGTACACAGGGAAAACCAGACAGCACCAGCTGTTATTCTGAATATAAATCAGCGTCTATTTTACTGGCCATCATAACCTTTAGTAAAAATCTGTTTTTTTGCTGAAAAATAGTTGACAAAATCGTTAAGTCACAAACCACAATATATTACGGCACTTCATAGACACCAAATTTATATATACATTTGCACATTTAGTTTTGTACTTTTGTCATATGGGATGTGTTTGTATGCGATTATGGTGATTAATGTTTGATAGAGCGGAAGTATCACGCGACAAGTGAATTGTATCACATCTCATCTCAACACACGTGAAGGGGCACCCCTCGTGGCAGCTGTCCACGTGCGACACACAAGGTGGTTTACCGAATTAGCACATAATGGGCTACTCATTTTGAATGACACTTGCTCTTTAACATCCACTGTGAAGTAAATGGTGCATAGTATTTCATGGATAACACAGCCACACTATCATTCTGGGCAGCCCGTCAGATTTGAACGGAACACCTCTGCATTTGTCTTCAATGTATGAACTGCGAGCTATTACAACCTTTAACTTCTAACGATTACAACCTTAAGACGGAGCCGCTTGTTGACGGCCACGTGACCTTGTTAGAACACAAAAAAAGGATCGCCCGGTGTGTGCCAATGTGTTGACGCTGCTCATTATTTGTAATCGGTTAGATGTGCGTAGTCTGTGAAATTTAAATGCTGTGTATTTTGTGTTGATGTTGCGCGTGTTGTGAACGCAAACACAGAAACTCTCGCGATAACTAATACATATACGTCAAGACATTTTTAAAGTCAGAAAACACTACGTCCAAAAACGGTTCGTATGAGCAGAAATACTGTACATTATCCGATGCACACGCACAACCACTGGCCGTCTGGAACGCTCTTCCTTCCTATGTTAGGAAGCCACTTGAGCTATGCAATTGAAATCGAGATTGAAAACTCATTTCTTGAGAACGGTTTTTGTTTTTAGTTTGTTGTCCTTCTCCCACACCTTCGATTAGCACGAGTAGCCATGTACGGTGCAATAGACGTTCAGCGTACACATATATATGTGTGCTCTGCAAACAAGCAGTGCAATCCGGAAAGTGGACAATTGCCACAGAGTTTACACGGGCAGCAGAACAGTTGCCCGAAAAAAAATCATTTGTGGATTCAAGTGCCCATCAGGGCCACAAGTTAAAACATTTAACCCTTTGCCATTCCGATGAAGTACGTGTACAACATCAGTTTTTCTTCCGGCTAAAACAAAATAACTTCATCCATACCGAGGCTCCCACAAGGCCATGCAGTAGGACGTGCCACAGTTTGACGCCAGCTATCGTATAGCATGGTCGTGTGGCTAGTTATATGCGACGAGTACAATAATAATTCAAATTTATAATGCACATTCCATGCTGGGATCCCAACGGATTACAAACGTCGCCTATGCCTCTCTAAATAAAATTTACGCGATCCGCTTGCACGGTCCGAGATTCAGCGGTGAACGTGATCCACCCTACAAATTGCAGACGTCTCGGAACGGGTTGACGTGACAGGGCAGCTCAACGTTGCTGAACGGAGTCCCGAACACGATGAGAAGGGTTTGGGGTTGGCGCCCCACCCCCTCCGTCTGGGTTTGAGGCAGACAGTGCAAAACTCGGCATGTGTGTTCGGGTGACAGCAATTGATTTGTACCGCCCTCTGATTTTTATAGACAGAGGCTGAGAAATGTCCGGATTTGGTCAATGGAAAACGGTGGCAACTTCAACCCGCAATAGTAATATTACAATCTGTACCACTGATTCTGCACTTTGAAAAGATAACTGGCCAGTAATTTGAAGAGCTTGGGGACACTTAATGACTTGTCTCTTTTAACGGGGGGGGGGCATGGAGTATTTTATTTATTTAAACATTTGTCAAAAAATATCATTTGCGAAGGTGTTCCGTGGTTACGTCTAAACGATGTTAGCATATGCGACTTATTCTGCTCAAACTATGTTAAGGATAATTTGTAAACATCAGTGTTATCATTTTGAGTACCACACAAGCTTGTGGGTGCTTACGACTGCAGCGATATCCCTATTTGGAAGAGGCCGTGTCCCAGCACTGCCCAATCAACTCTTTACATCATCTCTCTTACAAAGGGAATGGCGGCTGCAATGATGCACTCCCAGAAGGCTGTGTGGCAGATGGGACGTGTAAAAAATACTTTTATTTTTACTTGGAAGGACAGATATATGAAGGCGGTGTATTGTCTGCATAGCTATTTGTTAAATAATGCGTAAAGAAGGGTTAAATGTAGGTGATGCGATTGGCCCTGCCTACCCTCTGCTGCCTTGGAACTGTGTTCAATTGGACCCGAGTTCTGAAGCGAAGCTGCCACCGTGTGGTCACATCTAGCGCAGTGGGGCTCGTGGACTGGTGACATCTTATAGCTCTCACTCATCTCCCCGATACACGCCGTATATACAACTACAGAAATAATAATCATTGTAAATGTTGTGGGTTTACTCTCCAATACACAGGTTTGCTGAACGAGTAACGATTCGTCATGTTTTTGTTTACGTGACAAACCTAATTGGTTGTATTGGGTGGTGGCGCGTTTAACGACATCGATATTTATGCAATCTCACCCAAACACCTCTATTATGGAACTATTTCCTCTCGGCTGCCCCGTTTCCTTGCGTGTATATCCACGCACGCCTTGGTGCGCAATTATTTAAAAACACGTCAGCGATAGCACAGACGATGACATGAGCTCAAGTGAGGGCAACTGTAAGGAGTGCGCACAGCATTTATTAAAATAGCCCGAGGAACTGTCGTCCTGGAGGTCATGGGCCTGAAGCAATGTGCCAACACCATTGGAATCTTGGGTTCAGATCCAGGCTTCATCTGCGATTATGTACGTATGTTGAACTTCTTTTACAACGTACGTAGCCAATCATGCTAATCGCAGCTGCGAAATTAAACTTTTGAGCACAGAGTCTGACAGAACTCGGCCACCAATGCTTGCAGGAAAAAAAACCCATTCTATGACAGTTTGTACTCAAGTTTGTCAAGCTAATTTCTGAAGGGGGAAGTTGACATTGGAAATGACTGCTGATGTTAAACCACATGTACAGCACGGATACGCACCTTCCTGTGCAGGGGACTACTCAAGTGACTTGTAAAGTCGCTCTGAAGCGTCAACTTCCAGGGTCACTCCTGGATTGGAAGACATGATGCTACTGCCACTAGCACGTGTTCCATAGCGTCCAATCCATGCCTACATCCCTTTTAATATTACGTTTAATGCACATATATTAAAACATAAATTTTAGTAATTGAAAAAAAACTCATTTTCAGAAGGGCCAGCAAGTGGCTTAGCCCTAGAATGAGTAGCTCACAATCACAGTTGCGAGTTCAAATCCTAATTGGAGTTGACTCATTTCTAGTGGGTCCTTAAAATGTTTCACTTTGTGGGAAAATCAAGTGTCCAAAGGATAGATTCACCCTGCCATAGCAATGCTGAATTTTCACCACTGGCTCAGGACTGTAAACAGGAGACAATTATCACCAATGCCCATTTGAGCAGGAAATCCTATTTTTTTATCTGTTGGACATTTCACCAATTCCGTGACGAAGTTACATGCGGGAGAAATCGGGTGTCTAGAGAAAATGCACGCACAAGCCCCGCACAGGTGACGTCAGCCAACCCCTTGCTGTAGCGACTCCAAGAGAAACCTTCCTACCACACAGGGGTTCTCACACACCTCGCCAGAGCTGTTCCGAGGCTTCTCAGTGCATCACAGAGTAGAACAATACCATGAGGCCCTGTGCCAACACACTCAAAATAATTTATAGGGTTGTTATAACATCGTTTTTTTGCATTACCGGTGCTGGATTTGCTACAGATATAGAATGTCCAGCGATAAAATTAATGTTGCTTTTTCACTAAAAAGCAAAGGGCTCTGCCGTTGTGTAATGCCGGGCACACTGGAATCCAGTGTGGTTGCTGGTTCTTTAAAACATTGGGCAACTTCCTTCAGTTGCCCCATGCCTCTGTCCATCCTGCAGTATAATGGGTCCACCAGTTGACTGACAGGTCACACGCTCGGGGGGGGGGGGTGTATTTGACCTATTCTTACATCTGACGAGACGTCTTGGAAGAGGTGGCTGTATTCACACATTACGCCATACATACATGTGGTGGGGTAATGTGTGAATACACCCATCTCTTCTGAGACGTCTGGTCAGGATGCAAGAGTAGGCCAAATACCCCCTTCACCCCCCCCCCCCCCCCCCCCCCCGAGAGCTTCCTCGAGTGAAGACCCCTCTGCCGGCAGTGGCTTGAGCACTTTCGAAGCTATGACCTCTCAACTGAGAAACGAGGGCGAATGTACCATGCAGTGGACTTCGGCCGCCGTGCGGTTTATACATGCGCTTGTGCCAATCGGTGCATTCATTACTGACATTCCACTGGAAATGGTGACCGGTTCCAGACTCACGGAACCAGTCACCGAATATTAAAACGGTTACCAGTTAACAACTCTCGCCAGTCGTGCTCTAGTTCACGTCGGTTTTTTCTGCGACACTCGTTTTCTCCAGCACAAAAAATATACCAAAACGAATTTTAACATTCAATCTGGGATCATCCGAATTCTCAAGACCTTGGTGTGACTTGTCCTAAGGAAAACATGAAATACTGCATTATGTTAAATAGCTGACATTTATGCAGTTCCTCATCCATCACGTTACACTTGTCTCTACAAGCAATTTGTTTTTAAATGTTGGCTCTGTGGCTCGCAATGAAAGCAATAGAAACCTACGTTGCACTTGCAAACTCCCTGCCCAGTAAAAGGAGGCAGCCTTATTAGCAATTTATAGTTTTGTAAGTAGAAAAATAAACACATTATTTAAAAAACTTTTACATTACAGCTGTAGGATTCATATTACTTTGTTAAATTGGAAATGTGACCAGGTGGCTCAGCGGTAGAGTGAACGGCTCGCTATCATACAGTTGCGAATTCAAATAATAATTATAGCTAATAAAGTGCCTTTCATAAAATCTCAAGGCGCTGCACATCAATGACGATGGGGGGGGGGGGGGCAGGGAGGCATGGGTAAGAATGGCTAAGTTAAAATAGAAAACACCTTCCTGAAATAGAAATGTTTTTAGAGACTTTAAGACCCCAACCCAACCAAACTCTGACAGCCTTCGGCAGAGCATTCCACAATCCAGGTGCCACAGAAGCGAAGGCCTCAATCACCCATGATGGACTGGAGCTTCATTCTGGGGTTGCGGAAGAGATCTGAGTCCACCGACCTCAAGAGTTCTTGTTGGAATCTATGGGGGGATGGGCGCAGCAACTTCCGATTTTACGGAGGTACGAGATCATTCAGGGCCTTGAATGTGAGGAGGAGCTAGAAATCAACGTGGAATTTAACTGGCAACCAGCAAAGAGATGCAAGAACAAGGGTGGTATGTTCTGAATGAGGAGCTTGGGTCAAGACCCTAGCAGTTGCATTCTGAATGGACTGGATTCAACAAAGTATCTTACTGAAGGTACTATTAAGATAGTAAGGCATTGCAGTAGTTGATGCTTGAGAAAATAAAAGCATGAACTAATTTATCCGCATCAGTGGCTGAGAGGATGGGATGTAACCGGGCAATGTTCTATCGTATCCGCCCATACTAGACATCTGTAAAAAAAAAGCTTCATAGCTCATCGGAATCTTCCAATATAAATAAATATTCGGATTCTCCCCATTCAACTGGAGGAAATTGTGCTGCATTCAAGCTCCGATGAGTTAAAGTGATTACGAGGGAACAGAGAAGGCATCACTTAGACTCACTTTGCAGTGTATGTAAATTTGAGTGTCATCATGAGTGGAAATTTAGACCTAATTAATGGTGGTACCTAATGAAGTTGTGTCGATACAGAAAAGAAGTGGACCCAGGACAGACATGGGGGATACGGGCTTAGAGCCACCAAGGCTAAGAAATTACTTTCGATAAACAGGATCTAATCCAGCATAGTGCGATACTATTAACACCCACAGGATTCTCCAATCGTTGGTAACCAAGATGCCACAAGCACAAACCAGGTTGAGTGTGTGACCAAAAGCTGGTTGGGGAGTTGTCTTGGGCCATCATCCCTCTGGGGTTGGCAAAATAGGTACCGCTTGGTAGGGAATCAACAGTGGCAGTCCTATGGATAAACATGACTCAAGCAGTTTCTCTACTTGCTTACATTTGTTACATTTAATAAAATCCTTATGTTTACATAATCGTCCAATAATGACCCAAAATCTGTTGATGTTGCTCAAACTCAATTTGATTGAAAGGTTTTAAAAATTTGTCCAAACCAACATTTGTTCCTAAAAATGTATTTCATGTGTCTGCACTGTTTTCAATGTATTCTATAATGGGGATGTTTTTGCTCCGATTTATATCTGCTTCATTGTTGTAGTTATTTTTGTATGTTATGGCTTGTCACTTTGGTGACCAAGATCATTTCTGGTCTCTTGAGTTCTCACCTGGTTAAACAAATGAACTGGAAACTCATCAAACTTGACGTTGGGTTGTGCTAAGCAACTCGTCCCTATAAATATTTTGACCAATGTCTTGAATTAAGTAATTGCAGAGATTAAAAAAAGTACTTGAAATAGGCAAACACGTAGCCACAAAAGCAGAAAACATAAGCAGCGTCCAGTAAATTATCTTGCAGAGGCAGTTGCAGCGTAGTGTGTTGAGGCTTTAAGACAATCGTTCATAGATATAAACAATGAGATAACCCATGTAGCCTTTATATACTGTTAGGGTACATACTTTCAGTGACCACTTATTAAGGCCAGAGCAGCACACACGAGGGGTTGGTGTGGTCACTATTATGACCACTCGCCTTTGTCTCCTCGGTGTTAAGAATTACACACAGCACCAGGTACTCATTTAAGACAGGGTCAATCTAGGGGAGGCCTAGACCTGGTTTCAGATATTCAACACTGACACACCACTCCCTCGTGCGTTGTGCTGGTTTTCATAGGTACTCCCGATAGCGTTTATCCCAACAATCTGGTAAAAGCTATGTGGGGCGTCTTTTTTTTTTACACACACACACAACAGCCACCATTTGCCACCATGTGGCGGTGATGTGATCACAGTGCTTGTGCCAGGCTAGATGCACATTGAGGCCACGTGAAGTGTGGAAGGCTCACCGACAGGTCACAGGACAGACCCTGGTGTTATGGGTTAACTCACTGAGATGACACAAATGTACCACTTGTGCTGCCAAGTGTGCCAATTTGCTGTATTTTAGCTGCCCTGCGCTCCGCTCATTATTGAGCGTTACTCTTCCACCATATTGTTGTTGGGAGAGCGACGACTTCCAAATACCCAGAGGCCAATCTTGACTCTGCTGGTACCAGTCATCGGCAAGTATAATAATCAGCCCGAAATCCTCCCATACCACACAGCCCATCTCTTATCTAGCTCGTGCTGTGCCCGTTTAGCTTCCTTTATCCAACCAAACAGAAGCTACTTAGGCATGCAGTGGCTGGGCATGTGAGCTACAATACCCAGCTAACGCAGCCTCACTTATCAAAAATATCAGTTATGGGACCATGTCCAGATCTTTCAATGATGAATGAGCTCCTCATACAATCCATCCTGGTTAAAACCTGGTTAAAACCAGGATGGATTGTAGGCAGGCAAGCCTGGATAGTTCAAGTCAGCGCAGGTGTTCCTTTAAAGGGGACTAACATTTCGAAAGCATAGAGAAAGTACGGCATATTGAGCAAGCGGCCAGGCAGCTTTCACAGAGTGGTACTTATGCAGCCGATGAAAAGATAATGCTGCTCGAATGATTGGAAGTGAGACCTCTGCTGCCAAACCGGAGTTGGTCATGAGCACACTGCTGTTATACATATACACATAAACATTAACACTCGCAAACTGTCCTCAGTCCACTCTGGGGCAGGTTATTGCGCTGGCGTTTGTTGCTGCTGTTGCTGCTGTTGCTCCTGCTGTTGCTCCTGCTGTTGCTGCTGCTGTTGCTGCTGCTGTTGCTGCTGCGTCCTACGCGCATGCGCAGCCGAGCGCAGATGCCGCGTGAGGCTGTAGGGTTTCGCAAAGCGGCGGCCGCAGGCGGCGCACGCGTACGGCCGCTCCCCCGTGTGCAGCCGCGTGTGCGCCGCCAGGTGGGGCTTCTGCCGGAAGCGGCGGCCGCAGGCCGTGCACGCGTACGGCCGCTCGCCCGTGTGCACGCGCCGGTGCCGCGCCGCGTTGGCGCCGCGCGCAAACCGCCTCCCGCAGTCCCCGCACGCGTACGGGCGCTCGCCCGTGTGCAGCCGCGCGTGGGCCGCCAGGTGCTGCCGCTGCTTGAAGCGCGCGCCGCACTGCGGGCAGCCGTGGGGCCTCGGCGCGTCGTGCGTGCGCCGGTGCCGCGCGAGCCGCGGGGCCTGAGCGAAGCGCTTCCCGCAGCGCTCGCACGCCAGCGGCAGCTGCAGGGGGTCGTCGCCGGCGCCGACGGCCACCGTCGCGTCCTCGCCGACGCCGCCGTCCGAGATGCCCTCCATGGCCTGCGACGCCGCCAGCCCGGCGCAGTCGATGGTCTCGCGCACGACGCTCTCCAGGACGTCTTCTCCCATTGTGGCGCTGCCCGTCGTGCCCACGATGGTACCGTTGACGGAGCCGGGGTTCATGCTGAGCCCAGTGACGATGATGGTGCCGTTGGTGCCTACGCAGCCATCATCATCGCGGCCACCCCCCTCCTCCTCCTTGGTGGTGGTCGCCCTCTTGCGTTTGCTTCCGTGGGCGCGGCGCACGCTTTTACTTTCAGAGCCGGTGCTCTGCTGCTGCGCGTCCTCATGCTGTGGCTGCTTCTGTGGCTGTTGCTGCTGCTGCGGCTGCTGGTGGTGATTGTGGTGATGGTGGTGCTGCTGTAACAAGTACGATGAGAAGACCAACTCCTTCCAGCAGCCCTCACACTTGAACGTCTGGTCAGCTCTCAGTTGCTGCTGCTGTTGCTGCGGCTGCTGAGGCTGTTGTGGGGTGAGATTCCCACATTCGATCTGAGGCACCACCTGCGCCTGGGAAAGGCAACCGCTGCAAGTGGCATTTACGATTCCTTACATTAAAACGGAGCCGTGTTCAACTGCTACGAAGTGGTAGCTAATGAGAGGCAGCTGAGGCTATTTAACAAAACATTATTAGTCTCGTTGTGGAGAATAGCAGTAACAAAATACATTTCTTATGTTACTTCTATTTCTGCAACGCTGCCAAATTCGAATCGCAAACCTCTGAGACAAACGCCGAACACACTACCACAGGGCCGTGTCACCGCCAATCAAAAAAATATTAATTTTGCATGTACCTGCTGTCCCTCCTGGTGGGGCTGCTGCTGTAACTGACAGCAGACACTCAGAGCGCCGGCCTCGCCCACCACAGGAACCCCGGTCGCTCCTGGCGCCCCTGCCACGATGATAGACGCCGCCACCCCATGCTGGGAAGGCACCACCTGCACGCACGTAGTGGTCATGAGTACAAAGACAAATATCCCCCCTGTTGCCTTAACAGACTGTTGGGGCAAGTGCTGTTAGCGAGCACCTATGTATAATACCTGAAACATTTATTAAAAATGTAATGATAACAATGAACAAAAATCTTATAATTTAAAATAGTTACATCTCAATAACAATAAAAATTCCCACTACTCTACAGCATATTCCTCAGTCACCATCAGCATGCAGTAGAGAGGGAAGGTATGTAAAAAGCAAGCTTCAAGAAATATTTACTACCTTGAATGACCTGGATAACCAAGAGCATGGGTTTGCTGAATTCCAGACAACAGAGAAGTATATTGGGTCAGAATTGGTCGTTTACACACTGAATTTCCCACAACAAATACGTGTTTAGCTTCAGTGCAGAGTACTACTGCTCATTAACTCCACGTGACAATACCACCTATGACCACTGCCATCACGTGATTTTTCACATACACTCCCCCTCACAGTGTGCATATGGGTGCCAGTGGGTGGGCATCACTGATTTAACTCATAAGAACACATTTAGCCCATCTAGCCAGCAAACATCTGGCAATTCACTCGCCCTGGTTCGAGCAGCCTAAGACAATGAATGTTGAATCCGGTAGTTTTCTTATATTGAACCAATGCAGATGAAATTACGCAGTCCCAAAAGGCCATGGGGTTTCATGGATTTTTACATGGCTTCCGGGACTAATATGTGAAGGTTGTGTATTGTCTGCTTATTTAATTTGCTATTCATTCTGCACGAAGCTCATGATTCATTTGTGTTAAGTAAAACCAATGATGTTTCGGCACATGATAGCTGGGAATGTGGGGCTTTGTGACCCAACCAACACAACCGTGGAGCTCAATGATGGGCCAAACATGAACACATTAACAGATCTCCACTCAGCTCCACCAAGTGTGGGCCACCTGTACCTGCTGTGTTGGTTGTGCTGTCTGCTGCTGCTGTGCTGGCGGCTGCTGCTGTTGCTGCTGCTGCTGTATGTGCGGCAGTGTAGTCCACTGCAGCTGCAGCGTGGTGACCTTCCCAGTGACGGCACGCTGACCAGACACCGTGTGTGGAGAAATCACAGCCACCGGCTGCTCTGCCGATAGCTGCTGCTGCTGTTGCTGCTGCTGTTGTTGTTGTGGTTGCTGCTGCTGCGTGTTCACCTGCTGCTGCTGGGGCAGTGGGAGGTGGAAGTGTCCTGGGAAGAGCTGGGGGAGCGAACGCTCTGGGATCTCCAACCCCCACACGCCTGGGGCAGTGCACATACAGAGGCAGTGAGAGACAGAGACACAGGACACAGAGACAAAGGCAGAGACAGACACGGATATACACGAAGACAAATATCCCCCGTATAGCCTTAAAAGTGCTGCTAACGAGCACCTACGAAGGCCAGCACGACACACAAGGGGGTGAGTAGCCAGCACCATGCCCCGTCGCCTTTGTCTCCCTAGTGGCGATGTTAACACACCGCATTAGGCACTCATTTGAGGCTGAGTCGACCTAGGGCAGGCCCAGGACCAGTCCAGATAATCGTCACTGGTGTTGGTTTTTGAGTTTGTAGCGCAACGCGCTAACCATTACATTAGCGCTCCCCACACACACACACGGACAGGTGATAAGTAGACGACCGAAAACCAGTGGGTGAGTGACTGAAGTGATTCTGTGAGTTCTGGATCATTAATAACCCCGTTTCGTGTTGAATTCTCAGGTGCAGTGAAGTAGGAACTTGGATACTCCACCTCAAATATACAACAGTTCTCCCAACTTTGGCCGTATGTGTGCTTTAAATAAGCTTTTGCAAAGTAAACCAAGATTTTTAGATGATGCCTCTTTATCCAGATGAGTAACAAAGCTGTTCCATAATCAGCTCATTTGAGATTGCTGCACCAAGCAGATTCATGGTTTCACTATGCATATGAAAATCATTGTTAAATATAGTGGCAGTGACGGTTGAATTGAGTCTGACATATTATCATCGACCAGGGTTTTTAGTAGTGGAATGTGATGATGTTTGTTTGAATTGAAGAATGGTGATGTATGATATCTCTGTGTTGCTTGACAGTGTATTATGGTGTAATATACCGAGTTAAGTGTAAAGTAGAGCTGCCTGCATAATATTTCATGCAGTACAGTAGTATAACACAACCCAGCATTGCATGCTCTCTGTTGCAATGTATGTAAGTGTTTTTTTTTACTCTCATACACTGCACATATTTCCTCGTCTGGTTACATAATGGTACGATAATGACCCTAACTAAATTTGACTAAACTTTTTATTTTAGCAGGTAAGGCTCACTGAGCTACATAGCTCTTTTTCAGACGTGACCTGGTCACAAATTTTAGCTCTACAAATTGGCTTATCACGTGGAAATTTAGAACAGCCAAATACTCTAAACATTGAGGTTCCTGTAATTAAAAGTATTTTTGTCCAAGCCAACTTTTGTTACTTGAAATGTATTTCATTTCACATCGATTATGTTCGTGCAATTTTCGATTTACTCTGTAGTGCAAGTATTTTTGTACGCACTTTTATTTGACATTATTTGGTGATAAACACAAATAAAACACTAAACTTAGTAGTCAATAACAGTGGCCTTAAAAGGGAAAATATGTAATTGATCACATTTCGGACAATGGCATTCTTCCTAGCACATAGCCTGACTTCATTCATGTGCTTTTTAATTCTGGTTGGTTAATTTTGTTGAGATTTCTTTTGCTTAATTGAACCTTATGGCGGGAACCCCGGGGTCCCATAAGCCCCCGGCTCTCGCATAAACTGCATTGCGACGTAAATTTCTGTCTTTTGAAGGCGAACGATGCGGCAATCTATTGCTCTCGACGAGCTCTACACGATGCGCTAATCAAACTTAATCGTTTTGTTTTTTCTGCGCATTTGTCCTCGCAGCGCTTAAGGTTCAATTGTGAATGTTATTTCTATTGTCGTTTTGATGACTATGTTTGTATGTTGGCATTCTTTCACACCGTACATAGCCAATCGTGCTAATCGGAGGTTCGGTGTTCTCACCAGGTTACACCAAATTAATTAACTTGAAGAGTGTGGCATAGTGCCATACATTGCTGTAGGATACCGTACTGCTGTTTTGTAGTGCTGTTGTACAGTATGTGGTGTGCATGTGTGAATGTGCGCGACCCAGCGCTGGCTATGCCCACAGCCCACACATGTACCTGCTGTCAGCGGGGGGTTGTCCTGGCAAAAGCTCATGGCTGCTGCTGCTGTGTCAGCGTCCGTGATTGTCCTACACCCAGACAAGTGGAGTGAAAAACAACCCAAAATAAGGCCACAGAGATCGGGCAATTGTTGGTGTCTGTTGCCCTGCCCTTCCGCTTGTCTATGGTTCCCCACTTCTATATGTATATTGCATTTATTTTGCACCGTATGTAGTCAACATGCTAATAGGTGGATGCCTAAACAGTGCGAGTTGCAAATTATACATTTTTAGATACTAGTTACATGAATGATGCTAAAAACACAAATTATTCAAACGTAAAAAAGAGCAGATAAAGAATAGGGAAAAACTGACCGTGTTAAACAACATGCACTTTCTTGAGGCAGACAAGCTCGTATACGAATTAACTCATAATGAAAATGTATATAATGTTAATCAGTAGCCCACATAAATCATGAAATAATACATATTAAATTGTACTTGTTTGGCTAGGTCGGATCGTGGACAGTTTCAACATTTGGCCAGAACATACAAAATTAAATACCTTCACCCAAAAATAATTTTTTAATCAAAAGGTAGAGAGAACATCTAATTATCGATTAACAGCCAAGCAAGTTCCACGGAGTGTTACAGAGCTGACAAAATAATTGTGACTGACAAGGAACATTGATTCAATCATCAGTGCACGCTGATAGACCAGAATGTGACATTTCATGCTGCCCTTGTTCCCTCTTTCAGGTCTAAAAGAGGAATTACCCTCAATCGACATCCTTCGCACCACGTGTTGTTTAGCTGGAACTGTTAATTCTCTATTTACCTTGACAATCAACCCTCTCTCTCAACGTGATTAAGGTTTTGGAGGACACATTTCCCCAAATGGATTACCACATCAGAAGCCGGGGTCGACTTGGCAACGAAACATGATCAGGTAAGGCATTGGATGTTTACTTCTTCCACATGTTGAAAACATTTGTTCTGCAATTATCAGTTCATGTTCATTTGGATCATTTGGATGTCAATCTCTTCAAACGGGGATAATATATTTTGATGCTCCAAATACAAACATCCCCTGTATAGCCTTAACAGACTGTAGGAGCAAGTGCTGTTTGCGAACACCTATGAAGGCCAGCACGGCACACGAGGGGTTGGGTGGCCAGCACCACGCCCGGCCGCCTTTGTCTCCCGAGTGGCAATGTTTACGCATGGCATCAGGTACTCATTTGAGGCTTTGTCGACCGAGGGGTGGCCCAGGACCAGTTCAGAAAATCGTCACTGGTATTGGCCGTGAGCGGAAATTTGGCCGTGAGCGGGAATTTGGCCGTGAGTGGGAATTTGGCCGTGAGCGGGAATTTGGCCGCGGTCACCCCTACCGCTTCAGTCCCTCACACACAACCAGTTCGCAACTCCTCGGGTCAAGAATTTCATCACGTTTGTGGGGTTCAAAGGGGGTTACGTCAATCACAGGCCCGAGTCATATCTGACACCATCCATTCCTGATTAAAAATGGACATCTTAAACTAAAACTGGAAGTGGTGGACTGTGGATGTGATGGAGCAAAATTTATCATTTGTGCCCATTGTGAGCTGAGTCTGTGTTTCCATCACCTCATTATTTAGAAATTGTAATAAACCAGCCCATGTGAAATTTCACCAATAATTTTCTATCACTAGGTGCTCTTGATGTCCAATTTTTGGTGGAAATCGTCACACTCCGTGAATGTTCCATGCTTGTCACGAGACCCCTGCTGCCAAACTGGCACTGGCCAATAGCACTGTCCAGCGATGAGCATTCTTCAACCTTCGCATGAAACAGAAATGTCTAGCAATACATTATTACCTTTTAAACTGATAAATTAAGGGAGCTGCCATCGTGCTGTAATGGTTTGCACATTGGGCTTGCAATTGAAATGGAGGCGGGTTTCTTAATTCTTATCTGTCCACCCAGCAGTATAAATGGCTACACCAAAGTCGATCAGCAGGTCGCATGTGTAGTGGGGTAAAGTGTGGGTACACTCATCTCATACAAGGAGTTGGGCTTCACTCTTACAATTTAACTGAGAAACGAGGACAAATGTCCCACGCGGTGACTTAAAAATGCGCCTTTAAGTTTATATATTTGCGTGTGCCAATCCGTGCATATTCTACAGGAATCGGTTACCGGTTCCAGATGTTCAGAACCAGTAACCAAATTTGAAAACTGTTACCGGTTTACTGGTTACCATTTAACAACCCTACTCATTCTTCATGGACAGGGGTGGCTAGTGAATGTGATACAAGGTACTGGAGCAGGTGTTTTGTGGTATGTTGTTGAAAATTACAAACCCATGCGGCTGCACATAAATCTGAGCATGATACTGTTATCGTTAAGGTGATCTGGCCCATCCATACCTTCTGATCACTCCCGTTTGTTACCATCATAACCCTCGAGGGCATTGACGTTCAATAATATTACCGATCTTGTTTTGTTCTCAATACATAACCGGCCAGGTGGTCCAGCGGTTGAGCTAGCGGCTCGCTATCAATTTCTGGTTGGAAAGTGACTGAGCCCATCACACCTACGGGGTCAGTACAATTATTACCACCTTGTGGGGGAAGTGAACAGCGGTTGTCCTATGAAGATTCTCGCCGCCGCCGCCGCCATGTGAATGCGGAATTTACACCACTGGGTCACGACTTTAAAAGGGAAATGAGTAACCGCCTGAACGTTCATGTGAGCAGCAAAACTTGCTTGAACATGCATATAGACACACATCTACCCTCACCCCAACAGCAATCGCTGTTCATAAATAAGTGGCGGTGACGTCGCCCCGGCGCTGTGCAATGCTCGGTGCACTCTGAAGCCACGTGAAGTGGAAGGCCGCTGGCAGGTCACATGACAGGCCGAGGTGTCATGGGTTGAATGACTGGAATGACTGAGGGTAGAGTGAGATATCACTGACCCTACTACCATCGTCACTTAGGCATAGCTTCACCCTCACAATTACCCTCACCACACTCACCACTACCGTCACCATCACTCCCCCCTATCCACCCCAGCACACTCACAGCTACCCTCACAGTCACTCAACCCTAATCATCACCATTTTACTCACCCCTATCTTGACCATCACTCTCAACCATATCCTCACCATCACTCACCCCCTACCCTCACCATGACACTCACTCCCCTACCCTCACCGCTGCACTCACTCACCCCCTACCCTCACCGCTGCACTCACTCACCCCCTACCCTCACCGCTGCACTCACTCACCCCTTACCCTCACCATGACACTCACTCACCCCTTACCCTCACCATGACACTCACTCACTCACTCACCCCTTACCCTCACCATGACACTCACTCACTCACCCCTTACCCTCACCATGACACTCACTCACCCCCTTACCCTCACCATGACACTCACTCACCCCTTACCCTCACCGCTGCACTCACTCACCCCTTACCCTCACCATGACACTCACTCACCCCTTACCCTCACCATGACACTCACTCACCCCTTACCCTCACCATGACACTCACTCACCCCTTACCCTCACCATGATACTCACTCACCCCTT